GGGTAATTAAACTGCTGGGCTGAACTGAGCTCTGAGGCTGCCTGGGTAATTAAACTGCTGGGCTGAACTGAGCTCTGACTGGCCAGTGGTGATGTGGGGATGAGGGAAGCCTTCCCCACAGGAAGTTGATGGAGAACTTCCGTCTTCCCCAAGCTGACTTCCGCCAGAGCCCAGCAGTGCCCCTGCAGGCCACGGCTGGGACTGCACTAAAGGACAGAGAAGTATGCATTCAGACCTTTTTTTCCTAGGATTACTGTGTAGTTTTTTTGTGTTCTGCTACTGGTTTTGCCAACATACATGTATCTTTTAATAAAGGGTTGTTATTTCTTCTGGTTTGTTTGGGTTTTTTTCCACACTTCCTCGATTAAAGCCCCCTTAATTTTGAATTTACAATTGCTGAGAGAGAGGAGTTTGGTCTATCTCATAACTCGTCCTCTTGAGCAAACATTCCAGTCTCCTCAGACTGAGACAACAGAGCTGTTAAATCTCTCCAGATCCCCAGCCCTGGACCAAGGGATCTGCTGTGGTGGGATCCCCATGAGCTCCCCCAGAATCCCAGTCTGCACAACGTCCTGGAAACGGCTCATTCCACTGCCTGTTGCAGCCAGAGGCATCCTCAGAATTCCAGGTTATCTTTGATGGCCTCACCCCCCCAAACACCCGTCCCTGTCACCCTGTTTTCCCAGGCAGTGTCTGTGCTCTCCTGGCCCCTTTCCTGGGAACAGCAGGAGCAGTGGTGTGGGTGTCCCAGGAGCCAGACTGGCACCACCCTCGCACGGGCTCAGCTCAGCAGTTGGAGCAGCTCCGAGAGCTCAGAGCCCTGATTTCTCCAAGGAGGAGCCAGGAGTGCTCCCACTGTTCCCCCGTTCCAGGCACTGACTCATCTTCTGCTCCCGTGAGCGTGTCCTCCTCCTTTCCTCTGCATCTTCCAGGGGAGGCTGCAGCAGATCCCTGATCCTCCTCTGCTGCTTTTTAGGAGGAATTTTCTGCTGGAAAGGGTGGTGAGGCCTTGGCAGGGGCTGCCCAGGGAGGTTTGGAGTGCCCAGCCCTGGAGGTGTCCCAGGAAGGCCTGGCCGTGGCACTCAGTGCTCTGGGCTGGGGGACAAGGTGGGGATGGGGCACAGGGGGGATCCATGGGCTGGGAGGGCTTTTCCAGTCCCAATGATCCTGGGATTCTGTCAGGGAGCTGGAGAGAGGGATAATGTCTCAGTTTCCCCCGTGGGAACCAGCACAGACCCCTGTTGCTCAGAGCTGGGTGGAGGTGAAGGCTGCAGGGCCTCAGGAAGTTTGTGAAATCGCCTCATTTCCTCCCCAGACTCACCTCCCCAGGGCTGGGTTGGTCGTGGTGGGTCCCATCTCACCACAGAGGGCTGGAGCTGCTGTTCCTCTGCAGCAGCTGAACCCACAAATGAAACAACTGCTCCACCTGCTCCCCGGTGTCAGAAACAGCCACTGCAACACAGAGCAGAACTTGAGTGCAAAGGCTCTGAGCACAGCCCAGGCTTCGACCAGACCAAAATGCCATTTTAGATTATTTTTCCTTCTTTAGGCCTTTTCCCAATAAAACAGAGAAACACCCCCAAAATTACTCCCATTTCCTGATCAGTACCAAACATTCCCTGTGTCCCATCTTTGAGGGGAGAGCTCTTTGGATCCTTGCTGACTTGGTGCATGGGGCACCTTCCCAGCCAGCCTTGGTGCTGAGGAGCCCACAACTGTTATTTTGATTGGAATACGAACAGAATCAGCTCCCTCACGTGGGAAGGGACAGGGGCCCATCCAGAAGAAATGAACAAGTGAATTTGCAGCCCCTCTGTGCCCTGTGTCTGTGAGCCTGTCGGGATCAGCCCCAGCCGAAGGGGGACGTGCAGGTTGGTGGTTCACAGTTCCCTCACTGCCGTGCAGGTTGGTGGTTCAGTTCCCTCACGGTGCAAACCCCACGTTTCCGCCGTGGGGCCGTGCTGGGCTCTGTTTCCCGTTGCCCCTCTCAGCCCCTCCCTGAGGGCAGGGGTGACCCTGGGGGGCAGGAGCCACCTCAGGGCCTGCCTGGGGAACAGGCAAAGGGGCTGCAAACCACAAAAACCAGATCTTCTCGTGCCCTTTCAGGCCCACAACTGTCACAGCTGCTGCTTTCCGAGACATTCAGAGCAGGATCAGAGAGGAACTGGGGGTGTGTGGGGTTGGATTTTCGCACAAACCTCAGCGCGGCCCCTGAGCCCTGATGGGACTTGTGGAATCATGGAGTGGTTTGGGTGGGAAGGGACCTTAAAGCCCATCCAGTGCCACCCCTGCCATGGGCAGGGACACCTTCCACCAGCCCAGGTTGCTCCATCCTGGCCTGGGACACTTCTAGGGATCCAGGGGCAGCCACAGCTTCTCTGGGCAACCTGTGCCAGGGCCTCCCCACCCTCCCAGCCAGGAATTCCTTCCCAATATCCCATCTAACCCTGCCCTCTGTCAGTTTGAAGCCATTCCCTGTGTCCTGTCCCTCCATCCCTTGTCCCCAGTCCCTCTCCAGCTCTCCTGGAGCCCCTTTAGGCCCTGCCAGGGGCTCTCAGGTCTCCCTGGATCCTTCTCCAGGTGAACCCCCCCAGCTCTCCCAGCCTGGCTCCAGAGCAGAGGGGCTCCAGCCCTTGGAGCGTCCCCGTGGTCCCTCTGGACTGGCTCCAGCAGCTCCACATCCCCACACTGGGGATGTTTAATCCCACATTCTATTTACGGATTATAACCGGTATTTTCACCGTTTTGTCGCTCTGGCGCGGGCCGAGGCCATGCCTTTTGTCCCCTCGCGCTCTCCGTCGCGGTGCCCTCGGCGCGGCCCCTCACGCCGCGGAGGGGGGCGCGGGGCGCCATCTTTAAACCGGGCGGGATTCCCGGTGGTCCCCGGCGGGCGGCGATTCCCGAGGGACAGCGGCGGGAATACCGGGATGGGGGCCGGGATCGGTGTCCGCCAGCCGTGACCGGCGGCGCCGGGGGCTCGTCGGGGCGGGCAGGGGGCAGAGCAGGAGGTGGTGCCCGCAGTGAAGAGGGCAGCGGCGGCCTCAGCGCGGGGTGGGGCTCGGGCGGCGAGAGCGGGAACGGCGGAGCGGCGGAGCCGTGAGGGCTGCGGGGGGACTGTGGGGGGGCCGTGAGGGGGGACAGAGGGGCTGTTGAGGGCCGAGAGGGGCCGTGAGGAGCGGGGGGGGCTGTCAGGGGCCGAGAGGGGCCGCGAGTGCTGTGAGGGACCCGCCGTGAGGGAGCCGGGACGCGGCCGCCGCCATGCACGTCGTGAAGCGGGGTGAGGGCTCCGTCCGCCCCTCGAGGGGCCCTCTCGGGACCGAGTGCAGGGGAGGGGGCACGGCCCTGCTCAGGGCACCTACCGTGAGGGGATGGGACCCCTCGGCTCTGGGGGTCCCTCTCATGGCACTCCCAGTGATCAGATGGGGTCGCCGCGGTGTTTTGGGAGGTTCCCTCATGGCACATGGAAGGATGGGATTCCCTCTGCTTTGGGGGTCCCTCGTGGCACCTGAAGGGGAATCCCCACTCCTGTTTTGGGAGGTTCCCTCGTGGCACGTGGAGGGATGGGTCCCCCTCCCTTTGGGGGTCCCTCTCATGGCACCTGGTGAGACGGGAGGGTATCCCCCCGTTTTGGGAGGTTCCCCCGTGACATGTTGAAGGATGAACCCCATTCTGTTTTGGGAGTAGCTCATGGCACCCGAAGTGACCAGATGGGGTCCCCTCCCTTCTTTTGGGAGGTTCATGGCACATGGAAGGATGGGATTCCCTCAGCTTTGGGGATCCCCCATGGCACATGGTGTGAGGGAATGTGACTCCATCTGCACCCCATCAGGGTGTGGGAGCTCCCCCATGGCACCAGAGTGAGAGATGAGAGTCCTCTGTTTGTTTTGGGAGACCCCCAACACACACACACACATTCCACACACACCCCCTCCCACAATCCCCTCCACGCCCCCATCCAGGAGCTTTGGGCTTGGTCCCCACCCTTTGGTCCAAGGGCTGCTGGCCCAGGGGAGGGGTCCCCAGCCTGGGGGGCAGTGGGTGACCCTCACCTGGGTCCCCACCGCTGGGATTGGGGTTAGTGCAGTTTAAGGTGGGGATTTCCTGGGGTGGAAGGGGAGCCTCGGCTTTCCTGGGGCCCCACCTGAGAAGGCTGTCCCTGGTGATTCCCACGTGAATCCCCCTGCAGGAGGGGGCTGGGAGGGGGGCACTGTGCTTACCTGGCTCTGGCTGGTGCCAGACGGGTGTGACATGGCCTGTTGTCCCCAGATGGGCGCCAGGAGCGGGTCATGTTCGACAAGATCACGTCGCGCATCCAGAAGCTCTGCTACGGCCTCAACGCCGACTTTGTGGACCCTGTGAGTCCACCCTGCCCTGCTGGCCTGTTCCC